TAAGCGGATTAACACCTAAAAACTACAATTAGCATCAGGGTTGAACGTATAGAGTATAGATTATTTGACAATTCTGATACAACGAGTGATATTTTAACCGAAAGTCACAAATATAAAACTAAAAACAAATTGTTACAGAAATATGTAATTATACACTATGATATTTTAAGTCTAATATTTCAATGCTGAAATGTGCTATTCGAGTTGGGCCAAATGATGCTGGTGATTTTACGTTTACTTTTGGTTCACTTTTGTAATTAGGGGAAAGTAATTTTGAGATAGAGCTTCCAGTAATCTTACTAAAGGATGTCTGCTTAATACCCTTGTACTTTGGGACAACTGGCCGATGTAAGCTGACCCCAAAACCTCACTTATGTATCTTATCATTACAACCATAAGACGAACCACGTGATGTGGATGGAAAAATTATACTGTGGATTCATTTTTTTCGTGGGTATAGATTTTCGTGGATTGAGGAAAAAAAGTATTTTCATGGATATTTGATTTCGTGGTTGCCAAAGTTTACATACAAGCCTAACAAAATCAACGAGAATTGGTATTCCTAGTATTATATTTAGTTGTCAGCCATTTATATGGTTGGTGGTAAGGTGTTTTCGTTGTTAAATTATGAAAACACATTGGTGAGTGTGACCGATTAATTACACAACGTTACAACTGCTAGACATTTATCAATACTTATAGCACATGCCTTTCAAAAAGAAAAATGTACCTTTGCTGGGATATATTGACAGTCTTTTAATTATAAGAATTTTAAGATGGCGAGGTAAAGTGTTCAAGTTTTCCTTTGAAATGTGTTACTTCTATGTTGACATGAACTATCATTAGTATGGTCCTAATCATAAACTAACTGTTAACAAAACTTTGAATTTTCCAAAATACTAAGGATTTTCTACCCCAGGAATAGATTACCTTAGCTGTATTTGGCAAAATGTTTTGAAATTTTTGGTCCTAAACGCTCTTCAACTTCGTAATTTTTTTGGCATTTTTGATTCGACCGTCACTGATGAGTCTTTTGTAGACGAAACGCACGTCAAAAATTTTCAAGACTGTTATATATGATGAGTTTACTTACAACAACAGAATTCTCTTTATTTAAAGGCTATGCTTTTGTAGTGAGAAAAGAATCCCGACGTTTTATCAATGTTTATGGAACATCCGAAAGAAAAACTTGAGGATTTCGAGGACTTTTAAGTTTGATATATTGTCAAATGCAAAGAAATAAAAGTACTTAACCAAGCTAAAACTTTTTTTGTCAAAGAAACGTCATGAGGAAGAACAATTTTCGAACCGGTGTTTGTTTTCTTAGATGTTTTAACGACCAAAAACATACCAGTGAAATTTAAGACCGTTTAAAACAAATGATACCGGATACGTCCTTCCGGAGCACATGAGATCACCTCCAGTTTTTGGTGAGGTTCGTATTGCTCAGTCTTTAGTTTTCTATGTTGTGTTTTTTTATCTATTGTTTGTCTGTTGGTCTTTTTTCTTTTTTAGCCATGGCGTTGTCAGTTTATTTTTCGACTTATGAGTTTGAATGCCCCTTTGGTATCTTTCGCCTCTCTCTTATACGCCCCTCCTGATGTCAATTGATGTTTGTTGAAAATTATAATCATAGGAGGAAGGAAAATTTCTTCTGTACATTTAGAAATTGTACTCTCTGCACATCCATATATATTAGATGTCTAATTTATATCTATTGAAGATAATCTATTCCGGAGGTAGAAAATTCCTAATATTTCGAAAAATTCTAAGGTTTGTAAACATTTAACATGTACAAGAAGCATGTACCTGTTTAATGAAGAAACTGAATTTAAAATCAACTGGGAAGACCTAGATATTTGCTTTATTAACACAAGCATAATCAAGCAAGAAAGCATATATAGCTGACATTTTGTTCCCAAATACCACGTGTTCTTTGACTCGTGTTCGTTTCCAAGAACAATTAGTGGAAAGGATGAAAAGAAAAAGTTAAAAGAGGACATTCTTAAGATTCTTTAACCCAAATAATTGCTGTTTTTACACGAATTTATTTTAGTATCAAGTATCAATAAATAAACATCAAAAATATCTGGATTCAAATTGTATACGACAGGTCAGCGTTTCGTCTAAAAAAAGGACTCATCAGTGACGCTCGAATAAAAAATTAAAAAAGGCCAAATAAAGTACGAAGTGGAAAAGCATTGAGAACCAAAATTCATTCCCGAAAGGTTTTGCCAAATACAGCTTAGGTAATCTATTCCTGGGGTAGAAAATCCTTAGTTTTTCGAAAATTAAAAATGAGATGTTGATATATGCCATTGAGATATCAACCATAAAAAATTGGTTGTCAATACGATACTATTTGTATTATATAAAAAAAATACAGTCTTGGATATTTATACTTTTTATATATATATTAAGATATTAGCTGACATAAAATTTGCATTAAGGTGATTCAAAGTGCATACAACATGATATTCTGACAAAAAAAACAAGAACTTTAACTTTGACTTTTTGCATAAGTGAAGATTCTTTCTTCAAAAGATTTCTATGAAAACTTGTAGAATGTAAAAATTTCAAACAAAAAGTTAACTGAAAAATATAACAAGGACAGAAAGATAGAAAATACAGTGGACGAAAGGGATAAACTATGTAATGGGAACATTACGGTAAAGGAATGCATAAATAACATCTTTAACGAAATTAGATTGTTTTACAGTAGAATTGATTAGACAATTTTTGAATATACTTATTTTATTAGTTGCGGATGTCTGTCCTAAATACCGGCTACGATAGACACTGTTTTTCATATTCACAACTCACCAGTATATTAACTTGTATATTCATAAAGGGATATCCTTTGCTTTTGGAATCGATGGTCTAGTTTCATTTCTTTATACAGATTTTAAACTTTTGTCATATGTTTTTGCTCAAAGATATTAAAAAGGGGATTCTTCCAAAAACTATCAATGAAGATCAAACCGGTTATCCTGAAAAAGGTTTATTGAGTTAAGCTGAGACAAAATTAAAATGTTATAGACTATGCAGACACATACAATATTGAGGAGGTCAATAGTTGTAGATTTTGATTCATTGGAATGGGATTTTATGTTCGGAACTTTGAAGCATCTTGGTGTTAACTTATCATTTATTAACTGCGTTAAAACTATGTACACACAAATACAAACATGTGTTTTCATCAATGAGTAGGTATCAGAAACTTTCAAAAAAATCACATAGAATAAGACAATTATGTCCTTTTTCAGCTCTATTGTCATTAATTTGGCTGTTGAAATTATGGCTCAGGGATTGATAATAATAAAACTATAAAAGAAATCACAGTTAAATTAGATGAGAGAAGTCATAATACATGTATTAAGATATCACATTTAGCTGACGACACAACACTATTTTGCAATGATAAAAACGATGTGGTAATTGCAATGCACGAAATATACATTTTTGGTTCTCTTTCAGGTTTATTATTATGAAATAGAATTAAAACAGAGGGCTTATGGCTAGGGAAATTGAAATCGTGTAAAGATGAAATCGTCTAGATTAAGTTGGGAGATAAACCTAATAACGCTCTAGTGTAAACATATTTTATTAATTAAATTCAGGTTAAGTAATGTACACAAATTGGCATTTACATATTAATACAAGTGAATAATTAAAAGGATCCAGAAACAAGCTGTTAGCTTATATTAATCCGTTTCCTAATTCAAATAAGAACATTTCATATTGTAATACTCAAGGAGTAGAGTGTAAAACAATTAACAATGTTACACTAGACGGAAAACAAACAAAACATATACATGTAATAAGGTTGTGAACACAAAAGAGAAATATTTTTTTTTTTACATCAGATATACAATAATTAAGTGTATGTTTCTGAACGGACACAGTTATTTAAGATATAAGTATTACTTGTTGAACAAGATGATTGTTATCATATGACAAATCTTTTGCTACTGAGTATGAATGTTTGAACTGCCAAGAATATTTCAATGTTTTGTTCGTAGCTGAAATCCGTTGAACCGTGTAGCAAAATTTCTTCCGACAAGAAATGTATGATATTGATGTTATAAAAATGCTGTTCACGCATGATGTGAAATCGGGGGCAGTGCAACAAGTAATGCGCTGTTGTTTCTATAGCACCACATAAACAAAGTGGTGAGGCCACTATATTTTTTACAAAAAGATGTTGATTTAGAGAACTGCATTGCATTCGAAGTCTTGAGTGATAAATTTGACCTAATCGCTTACCACTATAATAATAATTTGGAGGCTTAGTCACCCGAGACTGGACACAATTCCTGAATGCCCCCAACGAAGTACTGGTCTAAGCATTCTCAGGGAGGAGATTCCATGAACGTACAGTTGCCGGTAAATAATAATTCGAATACAATAACGCTCTAGGGGTATTTTTCGGCCAAAAAGTAGGATTATTTAATACAAAACATGAATATTTCTTATATAGAAAAAAAAAGAAATCTTTCCTTTTAAGGAAACATATTATGTATAAAGACTTTAATCTTGCCTTTATTTACATTCATGTGTAGCGTTTGTCTAACTTCAGAAAATTATCAAAAAGAAATGGAAAACAGAATGAATTTAGGATGGGAAACCAGACAAAGTTAAAAATAAAATGATGATAGGTCCGTATGAAAAGGGTGGTTTAGAAATGATTGACTTAAAAAGTTACTTTCTGGTTAAAATTGGCTCTGCTGATTTGTGAAGAGTTAATTTATCAAATAAAAAAATTCCGAAGATATAGGACGTAAAACAATTACACGAAATGCTCATGTTATCTTTTCGACCATGCAAGCTAGTAAATATTTAAAATATTAATAAAAAAAAATGTATATAAAAAACATTTCCTGGAATTTGGACAATTTTTATTCATGCTGCTACATGATTGTAAAAATATTAGGTTTCATTTTGTTTTGACTATAAGACATGCAATCTGATCATTAAATTATAAAACTGGCATACAACCAACGAAAAACAGTCAACATCATTACTACCATCTAAGAATAGTGAGCACTATGAAGGTGTCAATAGAGTTGATCATTGCCTTTCTGACCATGAGTGGTAGTGTGTCAGGAGACTGTAATGCTGGTCATGGTAGGTGTAATTAGTTGTTGGTTTTCGTTTACAAATTTGGTAGATGAGACAATTCTAAGACCCTAAGGTAAGCCAGAGAAGTTAACAAAATGTAATAGTTTAAAAGAGGTTGATAAGGTAAATAATATAATTGGTGTTTGCTTGACATCCAACGGCAAATATATCATGCAATTCAAGACGAAGCTCTTAAAGTGTTTCTACTCGTTTTAGATTGTAAGTACCAGTATACAATTAGACTTTCTTTAACTCTTTTCAGCAAGCATGTCAATCAACAGATCAAATGAATTGTTAGTATCTAATGAGTCCCTGGAATTTAAAAATAATAATTCAAAGGTTAATTCAAATAATGCAAAAAATTATGCAAATATGCAGTCGGCATGCAGATAGCTGATAGTTATAACAGGCATGGATTGTTATGAACTTCCTGTGCTATAACAGTGTGAAATATACTCTGACGTACCGCCATCAATATTAGAGTTAATGACATCATAATTTAATATCTTCAGGTTAAGAACTTTCAACTGTCTTCCGACATCTGTCATTATTCCTTGCGACGATATTGTATTTATTGTTTAGCTAGCTTTTCATATTTGTTAGTTGTTTGTTTGCCTAATTGTTTTTTTTTTTATTTGGGGAGGGGTTTTGTTGGGTTTTTTTTTGGGCGGTTGTTGTTTCTCGTACTTTTATACCGTTATTATTGAATAAAGTTATCTTAGAAATTTGTTGTAAATGACATTTTTGATAGTCTCTGTTGAATATATGCATAGCTCATTTAGGCGCTTTGTTGCTTAACGTGCCGTGTAGCGTTTCTTTTTTAGCGGCAGTAAAATTTCGCGTTTAAGGGGCAACAAAGAATACGAAAAATTTTGGCGGTTTATATTTTCTTTATTCTCAATTTAATATTTTGGCGCATACTGTAATGTTTGCAGTTAAAAAGTTGTAAAAATTGACAGGAAAGAAAATAGTGAAACGTATATTTGCTGTAGTTCTGTATAAATATTGTATATATAGACACATAGATAAAACCTATCAATGGGTACCGTATGTGGACCTCAAAACGACTTTTGTTGGGTTTTTTTTTAAGTTTGGTTGCATCTGCCGGGTCTTATTTTTCATATTTCAAAGAAAGAAATTCCCATTATCAGTTAAAACTCAAACGAATCGAGTTTTATCATCATATTGCATTTATTAACTGTAATAAATCAATAAGCAATCAGTAACGGCGAAGGATAAACTCACTTTTTAACTTAATTAATGTAATGTATTATAGGGAAGACCACATGTATCACAGAAGACCTACTTCAGATGTTCATTAGAGTAAACAGACAAAGTAACATAATACCAGGTATATTTTGTTTATATCAACTTCCTGTAACAAATATTAAAAGCAACAAAAAAATCGCGTCGCCAGGTAAACTCAATTTGCAACAGTAAAACTACCGATGTACGTCCACAAATCTTCAAATACAAATCCGTTATCTCTTAATAAGACCTTTCTCTACAAATCTCAAGTTTCCTATGATCACCTGGCGGTGGATGCATGCAAAGCAAAGCAGGAGACGATTACCCTGTCGACGCACCCAGTCCTTCTGTGTAGTTTATACGATAAACTCAGTTTTTGTCTTCAGTTTAATTTGAATCTTTTTGATGGACTAATGAGAAACTACTGTTTCTCCTACTGCTACCCAATGACTGCATAGATATTTGCCTTGATTAACAATGAAACGCTCGAGTTCAGCGAATACATAGAATGATCAAAATGGCTTTCTTATTTGTCGAGCAGATCAAATCACACAGTTATACAAAGAAAACCGGACAAATAATCTTACTAATAAATTCTGTATATCTCACGTTCTTAATGTTATGCGCTTATATATGAATTAGTTTTTACTTTAAGACATGTTTTAAAAGAAACTGAAAACTGTGCGTGTTCTCACGTATAAGTGATAGTCTTTCATTGTAGTAAAAAAATTAACGTATACTCTATTAAAATGTATTTCATAAAGTATAATGTAAAGTTGCTTGTTTGTTTGGGTTTTTTCTAGTGTCTGTTCTAGTTCGTCTGTATGTTGTATAAAAACGGTACAGAAGGTATGTGAATAAAAGTGCTATCGAATTTTGTACGCTGTAATATCATCATAATATCAATTAGTTATTAAATTCTTTTCTTGAAATTGATTGTTAAGCCGAATAATACTAAAAATTAATTTGGCCTCTATATATAAATATAATTCCTAGTAAGTAGGCCTATGTATTTGTTTCAGGACCGAAACAGAGGACTGCATTCCTAGCTTTCGTGAAGAATCATCCAACTCTGTCCAACAATGTGATAAAGTTTGATGATGTAGAAACAAATATTGGAAACCATTACAACTCTACCACTGGAGTGTTCACAGCACCTATAAATGGCCTTTATGTCTAGTCCTCTATGATTATGGCATATGCAAGTACCACAATTAATTATGAATGGCGAAAGAATGATGCTGTCTTTTCAAACGGATATACTGACAAAACACACAGTAGTTCTCAGTCCCAGACATTCATCTTTGAACTGAAGAAAGGGGATCGTATTTACATAAAGCACCGAACTTCAAGTGGTGAAAAAGTACACGGAGGGCGCTTTTCTTATTTCAGTGGTTACCTTTTACAATAAAAGAATAAAAACATGTTCAATTTTTTACTTGTTTTATATAACATGAGTCCATATATATATATAAAGTTCTTACCTATATCTTTCTCTTATTTTCGATGACTGTGAAACTAGTGTAAAGATTCCAGCGATCCTTTTGAAAAAAATATCACGAGAAAAAATACTGGTAAGTCATGAACATTTCAATATAACTTACTATCAATTTATATTTTAAGATTTTTTGTGAATGAGTTTATAGCTTATCATTTGGTACGTCAGACGCATACCAAGACTTTTCCGAATCATAAACGAAACGCTCACTTTAACTCCCCTGTAAGAAACTTTGTCAGTGTATGGCACTTCACATATCTTTGTGGGATTTTGTTGATAATTTAGGAAAGTAATGTTTATCCTCTATAGTTTTATCTAATTCATGCAATACTTTTTTTCAATATTTCAATCGTTTTGCATTAAGTACTTATAAATAATTGTCTATTTATATTGATGGATGTATTTTAATCATTAAAAGACATTTCAAGTTTGTGCTTTGTTGTGTTGTATGGATGTTGAATCATTGGCATAATACCTACATTGTCTCATTTCATTTATTCATATTGGTTTGTGTACGGGGATGTATAGCTTATTTTTTTTTAAAGTAGAATCAGTTGAAAATGTCATATCCTCAAGATAATAAAAAACAACACTTCATGCTTATTACCCGTTGAAAAAAATCTTTAAAAAAGGCTTATTGAAAAGTGTTATTATTGTTTTAGAGTACACTCTACCTCCTCTAATATCTATTTATTTCCGTCTTCACACAGTTCTATTTCACGGATGGATATTTTCAAGGACACAGGAAGGCAACTCTGTTTGGTAGTCCGTCACATACGAATTTGTAAATAACTGAATTGGTCGACTTTTTCAAGTTTTGTTCACACATCTGTGATTGAAAAAATCTTATCAAATTGCTTGATATAATTATGTCCGCCCTTTAAAAACAAACTTGTTCGTATAAGTTTGCTTTGACAGATATTTGTCTTATTTGCATAAAAAGTAAAATAACAAAAATACCGAACTCCAAGGAAAATTCAAAACGGAAAGTCCTTTATCAAATGACAAAATCAACAGCTAAAACACATCAAACAAAAAGAAAACAACTATCATATTCCTGACTATGTAAAAGGCATTTCCTTATGTAGAAAATGGTGGATTAAACCTGATTTTATAGCTAGCTAAACCTCTCACTTGTATGACAGTCGCATAGAATTTCATTATACTGACAACAATGTGTGAGCAAAACAAACAGACATAGTAGGTAAAATGTCAAAAATGGGGTACAGATGTCAACATTTTGTTATAATCTTCATCACTATAAAAACATATAACAACAAAGAAACACAAAATGGCATACAGACACTTTATAGACAAAGTACATAAGCATAAATGAAAGACAAGAATACAAAAATGACTATAGCACAATAACACTTTGACAGGATGTATAAATACTGAGCCACGCCAAAAGTATATTACCAAAACTGGACAAAACAGTAAAAGTTAAAAATATACAAAGACAAAAAAAAACACTTTAACACATACTTAAGTTGATAAACAACGTCAGTGCCTAGAATCTATACCTCAAGACCATCATGTATTATTTGTGAAGTTGATACGGAATATTTATCAACAATGTCTTGATATCGTCCGATGAAACATTACATTTTTTTTGAAAGAGTTATTACGCTTAAAAGGGTTTGTAAACTCATCATAAATACCAGGCTTAATATTTTGTACACCAGACGCGTGTTTCGTCTAAGCTCGAATCAAAATAGTTTAAAAGGCCAGGACGATACTTAGAGGCAATATAAAAAGCAAAAAGCAAAGGTCGACGAAAGAAGACAATACCATAGCAGATAAAACAGAAGGACAAAAGAATACAGACACCAAGCCAAAAAACAATACACGTGGGGGAAAACACAAAGAATCTGCAATGGAAGAAGTACACTTCTAACAAAAAAAAAAGTAATAATTGCAATTATCTAACCAGCTGAAACAGATAAAATCCCGTAATCTAAAAACTGAATATAGTCATATTTCACCTGACTTTGTACTCTTTACAAATAATTTATATACCGAATATTGTTCAACATTCGTATTTCGATACCTGGTAACAAACTCGGAATTTTAGATTTAATGTTTTAACTAAATTATGATCTATAAATTTTATTTTGTGTGGCTTTAATGCACTTTGACGAGCGTAAACTCTGCCAAAGACTCGTCAACGAACTTCTCTACCATAAAAGATCTTAAGATCTCCTAGATTTTTATTGTGCGATCCACTGTTTTCATGTGGAAATCAAGTTGAAATTAGACAATAGATAAGGAACTCTTTTTTGTAAAGATAAAAAGGAACGAGATGGCATATTTGAATTGATCATTAATTTGTGTGGTCGTTACAGATTGAATTAAGATTTTTCCATGTTACAAACTAATTTCTACATAAATGATTTTATAAATATAATAGAGTTACGAAGAAAAAAATGCACGACGAGATATAAAATTGATCTGATAACATTTGGATGATTTGACAGAAATATTTGAAGAGTAAAAACACATATGACATCTAATTGCCTGAAAATAATATCTACACTCTCTGGTGGGAGAGGATTCGAATTTAGATAATTAGCTCCACGTTGTCTTAGCATTTTATTTAACTATTTAAACTAGCGAAAAGCTTTACAGAAACCCCATAGAATTGAAAACCACAATTTTTTTTGTTTTGTTTCAGTACACGTGTGTTTCTCATAGTTACTTTCTTGTGATTATGACCATGAAGTTGGATACGAAGAACTCCTTGTCATACATTATCGCATATCTAATGTTTGATTATTTATAGATCTAAGATATTCAAGTTGTTCACAGATTACTGAAATGTTACAATAATTGTAGAATGATGTTGTATCTAAGAGGGATCTAAGATTGCAGGAATTAGATTTTGAATTAGACTGTAAATAAATATTCAACGATTTGCTAGATACATTTAAGTGTCGATGTATTCCAATGTTTTTCTCAAGTAATAAACCTTTAAAAAAAGACGAATGCAACAGCTGTTTATTTATGCAATCACTTTAACGTGCATACCAATATGAAATATCGACAAATATAAATATAACATGGAACATTATCTATCAATCAAAATTAGGTTTAATATTCTTATTTGCCTACGCATGATACAGCGGCAGCGGTGTATACCTACTAAAATAATAACAATGGTGATGATATATTTTCAATTCAGTATCATGCATGAAAATGCCGCCTTTTCAATTGGTCGAGGACCAGTTACCATCAGAAATTCGCAGTTTGCTCAATTAATCTTCAACAGGAACTCTTTGAGAAAATATTTGTTTAACGTAAAAAGGGTTACCAAAAGTTAGACTAAGCACCAACAACTCGGAATTTAATTCTTCTTATAAATTATCGAAAAGCGGATTACTAGTGAATCAACTCCTTAATTGTTGAAGTCGAAACTCGTTCACCACTAAATTCCTCATAAAGAAAATACAAATACAAATTCTACATTTATTTTTTTAGTAATCGCCAATGCCGTTTTACGATTTCGAACTGTATGAAAATATATTTCCGTAAACAATGAAAATTTCTGATACGTAAACGTCATTATTTGCTGTGCACAATTTTCTACTGTTGTACAACTATTTGAAATGGAATTCAATTTATGATATCACTTCATCAACTGAATTCATGCAATCTTGAATCTCATCTCTATTAACAATTTTCACTTTTTCTGGAAATAGTAAAGGCTACGAAATAGAAATATTCTTTTTCGTTGTGCATTAAACTTGGTGAAAAAAAAGTTGCATGGCAAGAAACTAAACTGTAAAACACTGTTGGGTGGAATTCTCGTACAATAGCGTATTATGATCTTTCACCATGATGAAATAATGTTTAGTTTCACAAACACTGCCGCTAATACTATTGCAGGTGTTGGATATGTCAATTCATAAACGTGGATTCGTTTTCATCGGAAACAAACAGGTCATCTCTCCAGTTAGTGATTTGTGTCTCCACCAGACAATGGACTCTTACTGTCATGATCAGTTGAATATTTTCATCTTGTTTTGTTTTCACTTTATCTAAGCAATTTGAAGGTCTTGGTGGATCTGGAGCTTTTCTTTTCTTTGAACAATAGCTACACCTGGTAAATGCTTCAGCATTAACATTGTCACAAAGATGACATTTCCAAAGTTTCAGAGCATTACCGCATGGAGCTTTCATATGACTACATTTTTCACAAACATCTGTATCTACACCATTAAAATATTTGCACTGGCAACAACTCAATCGTGATGTGAAACGATTATCAAATGACGGTGGTCTCCTATGCTTACCAATAACTGCATATTGGGCCCTTAAAAAATTGTCCCTCGCAGGTTCTGTGTGACCTTTATCCCTAGCTAGGCAATTAGCAGATTGTGGACATTTTCCTGTCCCAACTCTATCTGTCCGAGACATTCCACATTTGGAGCACTTGTTTTCAGAAACCGGATTCAGGTAAAGGCAGTTATTACTATGACATCTCCATTCAGAATTATGAAATGTTTGTAACAAACATTACATCGCTGTTAATAGGAAGGATTTTTTACTGTACACTCTGGACAAACTATTGTTGACATAATGAATGCTCCAGTGAAAATTCCAGAAAAATATATAAAACCCTATCGTCAGTACTGTATATTTCAGTCATTGTATTAAACTGTTAAACTCATTTATTTTCGAAAATGAATATGTCAGACATTGCACAGCTGACAATTGTTGTTACTATTTAAGAATAACTTATAGTTCTTGTTTTGATGTTTTGTAACATTTCAACCAATGTGCGAACCCTTCATTATAGAATTGAATGCTGTTTTTTGAAAATACGAAATGAAAGCAAGTGTCTATCACTTTTTGCCTTAGGCGGTTCTTGCTAAAAATGTGATGGTTACTTTCTTTCAATTCGTATCAATTCTCATATTTAAAGATTT